TTTGTACTCGTGTTATAAAATTATACAATAAAAAGATGGAGACCATGAAGTTGAGTCTAATTAGCCAATTCAGTTGATATCCAGTCTCTGCTTGAATCCATTAACTGAAATGTAAGTACAACCATTCTTGGTAATTGACATATTGTTCAACTGTTATTATTGTTAGGGAGGATTTTTTAAATATTCAAACATTAAATTTTGAAATTTTATAAAATGATTATGGATTGGGGAGTAAAAAGAATATTTGAAAAAATGCTGCAGAAAACTATTTCCTTATCAGAAAGCTACTTATAAGTGAAATCCCTAGATGCTGAGTTCAAATCAAAGGATATTTTACTTTTATATTTATATTATTAATAGTAGCATTGGCAATGCCACTATAACAGGTGTCAGGGAATCCACGACACTTCTAGGTGACACAAAAGCCACAAAATATTTTTTAATTTTAAAAAATGATTTAAATTTTGTAATTCAGTATTTTCAGTATTTAGTATTTCAGATTTCAACTCATAAAACCTTGGAGTAAGGCTACTGACATTTCATATAAAATCGTGTGATAAAACCCAGCTGCTTTCTAAGCTTGCTGGTCTAACTTGAAAAAAGGCCCGTTCCAAGCACTACAGTTAAAATAGTGTTACTTGCAAGACAAATGTCCTTTGTCATGTTAAATGTCATGAATACCTATAAGAATCCAAGAGTTTATAGAGATAATGGGAAGAGTTTTGTCAGGATTCCTAGATATGGTATCTGCTCTTCTCTGAACTGCAATTGTTAGAATTCTCTGAGGAAAAAGAAAAGACCTGGCTATAAAAGCAGTCTACATCTATATCATGATTAAGTCATTAAATGCTGGTTAACCATGTAGTTTAGTTCCATATGATTTTAATTGACATAATTATTTTATTAAGTATCTTTCCAAATGCCCCATATCTAGCCAACAACCATATAAGTCAGTTAAGTAAGTTATTCAATCCTTTCCTGACTTACTCATAATGAAATTCTTGAAAGTTTAATCAGTGATTTTAATGGAAAAGAGATAGGTCAGTTTATATTCATATTTCAACGAGTCAATTTATTTTTATTTATTTTTCTCATTTCCAAGGTTTGTATTAAGATTACATAGAACAAATGCCATGTTTTTCCTCCTCATTATTGTCTCCTAGCATTTAAGAATGTAGACTGACACATATACAGCTGTAGAAAAACAAGATTAAACACAGTGTATTATGTCCATAGAAATTTCTAACTAAAATACATTACAATTTCATTTGTTGTATATTTCTACTGCATGCATGGCAAACTATTTTGTTTTACATGAATATAAATTAGAATTGTTAGTTGAAAATGCAAAAAAGTAATAAAAAGATTTAACATTTTAATTTTAAATATGTCTATATCTTATGTTGTTGTTTACATTTTACATTTTTATATTTTATATATTTTGCATATTTCAAATAGTAAGTAAAAATAATTTACTGGAATTCAAGTAAATTTGCATTTGAAAAAGTATTAGTTTGGGCTGAAAATTCCCCATTACCATTGGTAAACTTTGTAGCTATTAATAGTAACTGACCATAAACTTCTTTATATAATTGTTATCAAGATTATGTCTGTGCAGAGCTTTGTATGTTTATGTTGAAATTATAACATTCATACTAATTTATATCCTGCCTTTATTTTTAAAAAATAACTCAAGATGGTGAATATGCTTATATTCCTTCCTCCTCTTATTTTCCCCACAATCGTATGAGGTGGATTGGGTTAAGAGAGAGAGTGACTGGCCCAAAGTCATCCAGCCGGCTTTCATGCCTAACGCAGAACTAGAACTCGCAATCTCCTTTTTTCTAGCCTGGTGCCTTAACAACTAGATCAAACCATCTGTTATACAATATATCTAAATAAAATAGAGATAGCGACAGACACATAGTCTGTTATTGATCATTGCCCTAACATTCTCCAAACGTTCTCTTTCTAATTCCAAATTAAATCTTTGCCAAATATTTTGGTGTGAAGAAGCTTTTGGTGAGTGTATCCCCTTCATCTGGATTACAACTTTTTCTTTTTTTTCCAATAAATTTTTATTATTTTCCACCAGTACAAATCTTAGTTACTTTTTCAACAACATTGATATCCATATATAATATTGTCTTATACTTTAATATCTATTCCTACCTATCTTAGTATATATTATCTTTGTTTATAATTAATCATCTACACATGTTGCCTTTATATTACAGTTATTATTATATATCTTTAATATTGTCTTATTCTTTCAACATCTATTCATACCTATCCTTAATACTTATATTACTCTTATACATCTTTGATCCTTCTATCTATCATATTATATCTTGTGTATCACTTTCTTAAGAATTCTTATTTAATCATCTTTTCTAATTCTTATCTCTCTTTTTCTGTACTATCATGTACCATTACATGTACCATCTATGCCAAATCGAGTAGTTTTCTGATTCTTCTTTTTCTTTCATTTTAAGTGTGAGCATGTCCATCTCAGCACAGCCTGCTATTTTTTGTATAATTAACTCTTCAGTTGGATTCCTCTGCTCTTTCCACATTTTCACGTAAGTTATTCTGTCCGCTGTCAATATTTGTAAAATTAAATATTTAATCTTTTTTGGATATTGTTTTTGAATAATCCCAAGTAAATAGATTTCCGGTTTGAATTCAATTTGGCATCCAATAATTTATTGTGTCCACTTCATAATTTTATTCCAATAGGTCTTGGCCAGAGGGCATAGCCACCATATGTGATAGTAAGTATCATCAACTTGTTGGCATTTCCAACATTTTGGATTGGTGTTCGGATATATCTTGGCTAATCTTGTCAGGGCTAAGTACCACCGATAGAACATTTTATATAAATTTTCCTTGTATGTTGCGGCTGTTGTTAATTTATAATTTATACTCCATAATTTTTTCCACTCATCTAAATTTATATTATAACCAAAATTCCGCACCCATGCCATCATCATATTTTTTTACTCTTTCTTCTTCCATTCTAAAATCTAGCAAGTATCTATAAGCTTTGGATATAATTTTTTCTCTCTGGTCCAATTAATATCTTATCCAATTGATTTTGTCCCATATCAAACTCAAATTCTTCTGAATCTGTTTTGTATCTGTTTTGAACTTGGAGATATGGCCACCAATCAATTGTAATTCCTCATTCTTTTCATTCTTGATTTGATTTTAATCTTCCTTGGGCATCTAATAAATCCTTGTATTTTCATCACCTTTTAGTTTCAGCTCTCAATTATTCCAAGCGTCATGAGAATTTTCTCCTGTAATTTTCTATTATTTACATCTTGCCAATTGGTTATCTTTGTTGATAATCCACATTGGGTATTGTAGGGAATAAATGGCAACTTGTTTACTTCTTTAGTGCTGTTCACTGTCTCTCAGAAGTTTGCTATGTTTTGTGCATGTTTAAAAGAGCCAGCCACTTAATATTCACCCTAATAGTATTCAGGAGTTATGCCTGAACAAGAACCCATGCAAAGAGGGACAGACCTACACCACATGAATATCATGCCCAGTGGTGGGATTCAAAATTTTTTACTACCGGTTCTGTGGGTGTGGGTTGGTGGGCATGGCAGGGGAAGGATACTGTAAAATCTCCAGTCAGAGGTGGTATTTGCTGGTTTTCCGAACTACTCAAAATGTCTGCTACCAGTTCTCCAGAACTGGTCAGAACCTGCTGAATACCACCTCTGATCGTGCCCAACCTTCCTATCTTTAACAGCCCCAAATAATGGCTGCTGAACCTCTGCTGGAACACATGTGTTGAAAGATAACCCATCTTCTCCTGTATAATTGATACCACTATCATACTGATCTCTCTATAATGAAGGGTTTTTTTCCAACATTCTGAATGTATAGGTAATCCTCAACTTATGGCCACAATTGGAACAAGAATTTCTATTGCTAAGCAAGGCAGTTAAGTGAGTTACATCCAATTTTATGTCAATTTTTGTCACCAAAAGGCAAAAATCAGCCATAAATCACTTTTTTCAGTTGCCTTGTAACTTCAAACAGGTTGCTAAACAGATGATCGTAAGTTGTGAACTACCTGTACCCATCCTGCAATTTAAATACATTATTTTGTATCCCTGAACTATGTGGTCACAGAAAGCAGATTTTAATCTGCTATGTCATTCTTTGTGATTATATATCCCCACAAACTCCACTTCTTAGGAATATATCTTCTCAACTATTTGAATACTTCTTTCGATAACTTTTAATTCCATGGCCATCCTCATTGGTCTTCACTAAACCAGTTTCTTAAAGTATGGTGCTTACAACTGAACATAACACTGAAGGTGGACTGACCAATGCAGAACAAAATTGAATGATTTTGAAATGATACTTCAAATGGTGCAGCCTAAAATGTTATTTGTCTTTTCTCTAGTCACCTTATACAGATCATCCATTTTCAGTTTCTTCTGAAATCTTTTTCATGAAAATCAAGACAGGTGTTTCCTGTTACTGTGCAATGATTTTTTTTTGCTTGTTTCCTATATAAAGAACTTTACGTTTGCTTTTGTGTACCCTATGATAGCTTCTGCTATTGCATCCACTTTTTTTCCCACTAGGGGGCATGCATAAGTGCACCAACGTGCCCACCGTCCCTGTCCTATTGTTTCTTTTATTTTTTTATTTTTCTTATATGTATCCATGTATTCATAACTATGTTTTTACTTATATCTATTATCTTGTAAACAATTGACAAAAATAAATAAATAAAAAATAAAAACTTGTTTGTAAATGTAATTTGGATGTTTCCATTTGTTTCTTATTCCTGTTGTCATGTTTCCCTTTGACTTGAAATGAATCCTATGTATCATTGCCAAAAGGTTTAGTAAAATATTTCATTACAGTACCCAAACCCCGCCTTAAATATCTTTCTTCTCTTCCTCTTCTTCCTAATATTCTTTCTACTATCTTCTCCATTTATTAACATCAAGTTTTCCTTCATGCAGTTCAAGAATTTCTAGGACTATACTGGGATAATCTTGTCTTCCAACAGATGTCTGGTAATTATTATTCCCTGTTTCTACTGCTTTTATCATGAAGTTGCCCAATTTGTTTCTATGACCTTCTGAAGCCAATTTTAAATGTTGGTTCTCCTTGCCAAAACAATTTTCCAGATAAATCTGACTAGATTGCAATAAAATTTCCTGTTGTCATTTTATATAGATAATTCTTTTGCACTATTTGGTAGATTTTCACTTAAAAACCATAACAACTTGGGTTGTAGAGGATTTTATTTTAGGTTACTTTTTTTCTGAAATATAACTTTTGGTTTTGGCTAATTAGTATAATGCAGAACTCAGATTTATGTAACAGTGCACGTGTTGATATTTTTAAAGTATTTCCTGCAACATAATTCATAATACACTTCAGAAGAATGGGGAAAATCACCTTCAGATGGGCTATATTTTTATGACTAATTAAGATTACAATCTTTAAACTGAACATAGACTATCCTGCAGACTATTCTCTGAAGTGGAACACATATAAAGATAGATACACCTTCTTTTTTTCAAGAATTGTTATATAACTAATGTATTAAAAACTTCATTTGTTACTATGGTATTGTCTGTATCATTCATAGTACATAATCTAAAACATTCAAATTTGTGTTCTAATGTTACAAACATTCCTTGGATGATTTATTTTACTAGATTTATCTTTTAGCAAGCACATTTAGAATTAACCAGTCCAGGTAATATTGCTGTTGGTTAGTGTTTAATTCCTTTCCGCAACCCCAGAGAAATAGAAATATTTGTATTTAAATAAAATGGCTACTATAACAGATTTGCTGATATGTAAAGGGCATTACAAACTCCAGAGGTATTTCTAGGAAACAAACATCATTGAACACTGACAAAAATTCAAAAGTTGAACACAGAAACCATAATCAGTCATGATGATGTGTTAAGAAGAAAACAAAATGATTTTATGAAAATGTCTGTCTGAAGTAAATGCATTCAACTTCATTCAGAATTAGTGTAGCACAGCCAGTTTACATATGTTCAGAACTCCGAATGTCCTTTTTATTGGTTTGATTATGTTCTTGAGGTTTATTCAAAGGCACAAAGCTATAACAAACAATTGTCCATTTTTATTTGAGAAGAAATTGCAATATTTACATAGTAATACTTATACTCTTGGACAGGAGAAGGCCAATATCTATCTACTTATTTACCTTGTCTTTAGTAGCTATTCCTGACATATTAAGATGAATGCAAGGGCTTACAAAATACAGAGAACATCTGCTAGGCATAGATGTGAAAAGCCATATAAAATACAAAGTGAACATGTAGAGTAGCTCTTTTATTTTTATTTTATTTTTTAGTAAGCAACGTGTTTAGTTTGTGGTGGCTCTAAAATTGTTTTGCATGGTGTATCTAGTTTTCAGTTTGCCAAAAGGCCATCTAGACTAGGGTGCAAAACATAAAAAACAATTGCCTGTGTGATTTAGTGACTAGCTTTATTGATAGGGAAAATCAGTTTCAAGTCTCCACTCAGGAGCTACTGTTTATTGCATCCTATTTCTTTCTGGATTTGAAACTGTCTTTAAGGGGACACAGGCCAAGATAATTTATTAGGCATGGCCACCATTTCCAATCCATAGCATTTGGAAGGTATTAAATCTATCTTGGTAGAGAGGCATAGGCATCTGGAAGAGGAATAAAGGTGGTAAAGGAAAACAGTTTGTAACAATACAAACTTATTCCTTATAGACTTGTGTGTGACATCGTGATACAAGTAGAAAGGATGAGCTTGCATTATGATGTTACAATGCACCTTTTGGCATCATTATGGGTAGGAACAGATGTCTAAACAGATAGGTTGATTGGTAAATAAATGTCAGGTTCAAGGTACCAAGAATGACACAATGAGTAGTTTCTTTATTTCCGTTTGCCTATAGACAAGGATCTTGCCAGACTAAAGTACACTCTGCAGAACTATCAGATAAATCCTGTGAAAGGTTTAAAGAAGGATCTCTTCTGGGTCTCTTTCTGCATACCAAGGATTCAAGGCTGATTGTCTCTTAGGTCCCTAGAAAAAAGCTCCTTCCTCCTCCACCTAGATTCCACCGCAATGAATGTTTAAACCTATTTATTCCTTAGTGTTCAATGTACCATACTAACCCAAGAATACAGTAATGTGAAATCAGACTGTATTACAGAAATGGGCAAGTATTCAGAAATGTTAATAAGAGACTGCCCTGATTCCTTTATGCACATCCATACAAAGCACAGTAGATTGATTGTTCATGGCTTTCAGTAGTAAGAAGTGATCTTTGGCAACAAGATCACTTCTTACTACTGGTAAGAAATAGAAAGACTACTACTTTACCAATCCTAGTAAAAATTGTATGTAACCTAATGTATACTCCCATGAATGTATGAGTAGCTACAATCTAATGGCTGAAATATCAATTCAGTTGCCAAAGTAAATAATAATGCTTCTCTAACAGCCATAATTCTTGGCTCCTTAATCATTTATATTACTAATATGCAGTATGGAAAGGATCTTAGAACAAATGTGGGATTCATTGTAAGGGCACTGTAGGCCTGTGATTTAAAGTTCAACTATTCGGTTTCTTATTACTTGACTGTAGCCAACTTGCAGATTCGTTTTGATAGGAAGTATATTCATCTCTTACTAGAGTTCTTTGAAGCAAAGCATCTAGTTGTGGGAATATTCTAATTCAGAGGAGGGCTTATATGCATCCAACAGCAGGAACTCCCCTTAATTCATCATCTGAAGAATGCAATATTTTCTGTAACTTTGGATACTCTAAGACTGAAAGAAATTGTGCAGCTATTGCCTCTCTTCAATAGCAGGGTTTTTTGTTGCTTTGTTTTATTGGGGAAAAGTATTATAGTATTATTAGGGGAAAAGTAACGTGCAAAATGGAAGCAAAAAATACAATATCACTGTAATAATTTCAAAATTGAATTGAATTGACTGTGCCATTCTATGAATGAGGTGGAATCATTAAAGAATGAAATCATTCCAAATGTGACTTCTGTTATCCCACTTACTTGGTCCATACAAATGCCATTATAAAGTTTTTTGGAAATGCATGATATTAGAAAATGTGTATTCAGGTATTCTGAAAATAAGTTATCAAACTTTCCTTTCAAATTTTCTTTATTCTGAAAATAAAGAACAGTTATCAAATGTAATGTTATATATGAAATTTTATAAAAATAATTCTAGAATTCATAAAATATTACTCCACTGGATTTTCAAGGTAGAAAAAAAATCACACCCTACTATTAATAAGCATGTCTTTAATAGATAATAAAACCACATCAAATAGATTGGATATCAAGATAGAATGCCTGGGTTCTTACAACAATGGAATACTTTAAGCTAGAGGAAAGGCAAAGTAAAGGGCATACTATAATAGGTAATATTGTGCATATTCCTATAAGATTTTTATTATGTTACTTAATTTATAAAATAGGATTTATCAAGACAGCATCTTGGATGAAAAACTGAGGAAATAAAATATGGCTCCTCTTTTGTCAGGTTTCAGAATAAACAAACATTGTTATGGCTATTTCAGAGGATCAGTGTATTTTGGGTGTAGCTATATTTAAACATTTAACTGCATTTTTTTTAGAATAACAGATTTTTAACATTTAGATAATTTAAACCTGAATGAAAAATAAAGGAATAAATTGAGGTGTGTGTGTGTGTGTGTGTAAGAACTGGGCATGGTAGAGCAGATATATATGCTATGTAATGTAAATCTCCTCAAGTCAAGCTCCATTACATGTGATAATATTGATCCAGCCATACTGTTTTCTAGCAGAGTGCCAGTGGTTGTAGGAAGGGTAAGCAGGTAAAAATGGAATGTGCATGTACTGTAATCCATTCCTGTCTAGTGCTTGAAAATCAGCCATGATTGGATAGATCCTGCCTTTAGAAATAGTTTATACCATGAGACCAAACGCAGTTGAAATATGGAACAAATAAATGTTAACTACTACTATGCAATTACCCATGTTTCCCTGAAATTAAGACCAGGTGCTTATTTTCTTTTGAGATCCAAACTAAGCACTAGGCCTTATTTTGGGGGGTGTCCTCCCCATGTACAAGAGGCCTACTTCTGCTTGTTCAAGATGGGGTAGATGGAGTCCACACAGCGCACCAGTGCCACTACCATGAGACAGGGGGGATGGGCTGTCCCATGCACCCTGCACTGGCTTACCTTAGGACCCCCACAGATAGGCCTCTGACACCTGCCTCTTCTCACGGCAGTGGGCTTATATTAGGCACACACGTAAAAAATGACAGGTTTTATTTTCAGGATAGGTTTTATTTTGGGGAAAACAAAGTATTAGTTTTTGGAGGATAATTATAGCAATTATTTGCTACAATTCTCTAGATCTAAATCTTTTGATGCACCCATTCACCATCATGTTGGCTCCTAATATTATAAAATTTTGTAGTGTGATATGTGTTTAAATTATGAATGCTGAATAAATAATATGCAAAAATAAGGTGTGAAAGCTTGAGGCTGTTAAGGTAATTCCCCGTTAGGCGAATGAGCGCACACAGGGAGACGTAGTGAGAGTGGTGAAGAATAACACACAAACAGCACACAGCTACACTGTATAGTAAAATGTAGGTTTTTACTTCCAATAAACATTTAAGCAAAGTCCAAACAAGCAGTCCAAGTCATTCACAGTTAAAGCAATCAGTTTTCAGTCCAGGGATAATCCAAGTAACAAAGTCCAGTATCAAAAACAGTTCAGTAACAGACTTACATCAAATCCAACAATAACAGTCAATAGGAACAGCAACACTCTCCAGAACAACAGAACAGGAACTAAGTCAGGTTTCTGGCTCAATCTTATGGCCATTTGAGGAACCACACCCAATTACAGTTTTAGCATTTTCTTAAAGAAACAGTATTAAAATGTCTATCCTGGTTTATATATTTTCCAACCCAACTATTAGGTGACTTACATTCCTAACAGAGGCTAAGATTACTTCTTGCAGATGT